ACACACACACAAACGCACACACACACAGCAAGAACATGCAGTTTAAAAACAACCCCTGCATCTCCAACTCATCATTTTTCTCTCCATTGTTTCACATGGAGCTCAAATTGTGCAGTCTGTTACAGCAAAGGACTAAAATGGGTATTGAATTACTGTGTTAACTACTGGCTAACATCATTTTCTCTTCCTGCGCAGCCTAGGTGACATCAGCGGAAAAGGAAAATCATTTAAGAGGCAGAGTTTGATGAAAGATTTTAAGATAAACACTTGTGCACAGTAGAATCAGGAATGTGTATTTAAGTGGTAAATAGGGTCTATTTTTTATTTAATGTCAACTTTCTGTACTAAATGAAAGAATTAAATCATGAAACACTGCACATATATTCCAGAAAAACATCTTGAAAAGGCTAATCTCTTACATTTTCTTCATGTAAGTGTATTATTTTCAATTCCACCCTCAGCGTATTATGTCTGATGAATAAGTGACTCCATGTTTGTGTTTGTATATGAAAACAGAGCAAGTTTTGGGTCACTGGCCAATCTGCTGGTGGCATGCGGCCTTATTCAGGCTATTTATAGCTCTCCAGACCTCCTCCACTTCATCACATCCTGCCTGCCCTCTCCCTCACCGGTCGCCACAGAGGTGAGCTTTAGCCAGAGGGAGCGCATATGGAGTTGGGTTCGCGTGCAACAACGAATCTCTCCGGCCCTTTTAAACTTTAACCCCACCTCTTTACACTGACTTGGGGGAAAGAGGATTCTAGTGAGAATGAGCTGTTAGCTTATAAAGTTAATGTCTCTTCAGATCAGTGATAATAGAGAAAGAGTGCTTAAAACACCAGGAAATAACATCACAACACATAGAAACAGACTTAAAGGAAAAGTTCACCCAAAATAATCATTCTGTCAGCCTCATGTCTATCTAATCCAGCATTTATTTCTTCTGTGGAACACAAAAGAATATATTTTGGAGAATGTTGGTAAGCATCCAGTTTTGGTCACCATTGACTTCCATTGTACTGACATAAAAACACTGACATTTCTCAAAATATTATATTATGTTTCACAGAAGAAAGTCATGCAGGTTTGGAAAGACATGAGGGTGTAGTAAAATTACAGATTTTTCAATTTTGGGTGAAAAAATGAAAATGCCCCTTTAAGGGACAAAATAAAATTGAATACATTTTGACCCATACTGTATCTGGTTTCCCTTTGTTTTTAGAATATTTATACAATTATAAATGATAATAATAATAGCTATCTTTGCCTATTCAAAAAAACGTGTCTTTTCCGTGGATGTAACCAAAAAGATAATAAATGTATATTCTTTTTTGTAAAAATAAAAAATATTAACCAATAATATCAGAGCCTACATTTCAATTCAGTCAAATCCCAAAGAATAAAATCTACATAACTCTACATAATTCCCCACTGAATATTCTGTTTTACTCAAAAATGTCAAACTACATTAAATGCATTTCAAATACTTTTAGTTAAAAGTGATGCCATTTTTTTATGTTACATTACTTAGCCTAACTTAATGTACAGACTCAACTAAAAGTATTCCACTTTGTACATTGATTTCTCTGAAAACGTGATTGGAGGTGGGACTATCTGTTTTCTGTCTTTAAGTCATAGTTCTAAAATTGTGGTTGTAAATGACTTTAATAATGTGCAATGAACTGGAGTGTATTTGTGCAGTTTGAATGCGTTTACCTTGCTTGGAGTTGATGTCCTGTGGGTGATGTCCCGAGTGTGGGCCGGGTGCGAAGTGCTCATCGCTGTATGTGATCAGAGGGGTAAGGGGGTGAACGGCATGGGACGGCTGGACCACTGGCACCTTATTTGACTGCAAAACACAGAGGGAAAAACTGATATTGTAACAACTTCAAATGTGACCGAGGCATTCAGACTAAGAATAAATGGGCAATGAGCCACCAAAGTTGAGCACCTCACCAATGATGATGTGTGGATTGTGTACTGCAGTATTTTGGGGCAGAAACGAATGAATAAAGAAGGGGGTTGGGAGAGACGGAGTGTGGGTTAGAGGAGGAGAGAATGAGAAACAGGGAGGGAGGGAGGGAGGGAACGCCACAGGGCAGAGGCAGACCAGAGGTCTCGGGGCTGAAGATCAAAGGCAATCATTAGCCAGTGAATAAGGGAGTTCATTACAGAGCCCCGACCGTCTGCGGTGGAACTAAGCAGGGTTAATCACGTCAGCAGTGGACTCAACACACACACACACACACACACAGATCTGATCTGACTCACAAAGCAATGCTCAGCACACCACAAAAGCGCATCAAGTACACAGTGTTCAAGAACATGTAGCAATTTTTCAGATAATTGGTGAGCTTCTCCTTTACCTGGCCTACAGATGATCTATTTCTGTCTTATGTCTAAAATTGTGTATTTATGAGATGTAAAATGCAAAATATCGTAAATGGCAAACTCTGGATTTGCATTGAGCCTAAAGTCAAAGTTGGGGGCTTTGGATCAATTTTAGAATCATGGTGGAAACTAATTTGGTACCGGTCATAAGCTGTAACCGTGAATTTTCACTATATCATTTAATTTGTATATATTTGTGTAACTCGTGGTTACTATAGATAACTAAACTGAAACAAACATTAAAACCATGAAAAAAAAAATAATTTAAATAAAAGTTGTAACATCATTTTCAATTAGTATAACCTGATGTACTAAAACTAAAACTGAAATAAAAATGAATAAAACTACATTAAAAAAAATTAAATTCTTAAAACCTATGAATATGATAACGGAAAATATAAAAAATAAAAACGAATTCAAAATATTAATAAAAACTACAATAATATCTCTGATACTAAAATAACATTGGTGTAGCTTTGATGAAAAACAGCAATAAAGTTTGCCAGAAAAGTTTACGAGGAGCAAATCCATTTACCATTGAACAGTGTGGTAGAATGAAATAGCACATTTAATGCACATCCTTTGCCCTTCATTTAGTTGCACTAGCTTTAAAAAGTGTTCTACATTTGTTAGGAAGAGCAAAACGAGAGAAAAAAGTAAAAAAAACACAAAAAAAAATTACCTAATAAATCTGATTTATTCTGACCAAAGTCACTTGAACACATTACATTTGTTCACTGAGTGGGAAATTCCCAGGAGGACTTAGGAAGCTTATGATCAAACCAAAAGCATTTTTAAAAATGATTAAAATGTCCTATGAAATCAATCTAAATGCAAAAACAAACATGAACTCACTTAGAGAGAAAAGTGCAAAAAACAGTTATTGATTGTATGCTGTTCCTAAGGTTAAGCTGTATTGAATGTTCAACCACAGAACTTGCGAGAGAGGCGAGACGGGTAAGAAGTGGCCCACCCGTGCCACAGGCAAAACTCCCATAGGCATGAACGAGCGGTTTGTCCTAATTTGGGAGCAAAGGTTGCTGTTTCCGACCAGCTAATTGGCCAGAGAGGCAGGTGTAGGGTGCCATTTCCTCGGCAGACCTACTGCTGTAAACCCACGGGGCGGGAGGAGTGTGTGCGTGTGCGCTTGGGAGGGGGCGTTATTTTGGAGTCTCCCAGACACGGGACAGAAGCCGAGCGGGGGGACGATGATATGAATGGCATTCTCTGGAAAGATCTGAGCTTTGACAACTTTCAACAACACTCGGAGTTCCAAACACATCAGAAACGCCTACATTTTCCAATGCATTTTTGGGATTCTTGAGTGTAAGCTGATGATACACAATTGTAAATTTCTGTATTAGTAAATGCTTTCGAAAATGACAGATGTAGGACAGTGTTTCTCAACCAGGGGTCCATGGACCCCTAGTGGTCCTTGACATAAGGCCAGGGGGTCCGTATAAAGTATGAATTTTTGTATACATTTTGTATATTTTGACATGACATGTTCCCATGAAAGAAAAATCCAATATAGCTGATGATATGGCCAAATACTGGACAAGTCACCTAACTTGAATTATACATTAGACTGCATTTGGTCCTCACAAAGACACAAATGATACATAGATGAGTCAATTTTGTTCTGGGGGTCCTTGAGGATGGTTCTGAATTGGACTGGGGTCCGGTACACCAAAAGGTTGAGATTCACTGATGTAGGACATGCTCCTGGATCCTTTGAAAAACAAACATAGTCCTAACCCTATCCCTAACCCAAACCCTATAAAACCAAAGCAAATATTAGGTTGATAATGTTATTCAAACCCCAAGCCCTAAACGAATCCCTAAAATATGCTGGGAATATTGTGGGGCGTTATTTTGGAGTCTCCCAGACACGGGACAGAAGCCGAGCGGGGGGACGATGATATGAATGGCATTCTCTGGAAAGATCTGAGCTTTGACAACTTTCAACAACACTCGGAGTTCCAAACACATCAGAAACGCCTACATTTTCCAATGCATTTTTGGGATTCTTGAGTGTAAGCTGATGATACACAATTGTAAATTTCTGTATTAGTAAATGCTTTCGAAAATGACAGATGTAGGACAGTGTTTCTCAACCAGGGGTCCATGGACACCTAGTGGTCCTTGACATAAGGCCAGGGGGTCCGTATAAAGTATGAATTTTTGTATACATTTTGTATATTTTGACATGACATGTTCCCATGAAAGAAAAATCCAATATAGCTGATGATATGGCCAAATACTGGACAAGTCAGCTAACTTGAATTATACTTGACTGTATTTCCTCACAAATGATACATAGATGAGTCAATTTTGTTCTGGGGGTCCTTGAGGATGGTTCTGAATTGGACTGGGGTCCGGTACACCAAAAGGTTGAGATTCACTGATGTAGGACATGCTCCTGGATCCTTTGAAAAACAAACATAGTCCTAACCCTATCCCTAACCCTATAAAACCAAAGCAAATGTTAGGTTGATAATGTTATTCAAACCCCAAGCCCTAAACGAATCCCTAAAATATGCTGGGAATGTTGTTCCAAGACCAACAAGGATGTTGATCCAGGAGTATGTCGTATTTGGCAAAATCAAATAGGGGTATAGCAGCTATTATAATTAACCACTTTCCAAAGGTTATTCCACCCTGCTTTTTGGGTAATAATAACTTAAACATATTATTTTAAAAACGTTGCTTTACTTCAGTACAAAGGAAACAAACTGCATTTAGCTGAAATATCCATTTTGACACCAAGAACAAGCCTCTGCCAACCGGTCCCATCTGCAGCCAAGCGAACAAACTTGCAATTGGTACTGGGTGAATGTTATGTACCTAATTAATATTCATGAGCCAGACTGACAAGAATTACCATGGGTCAGATTCTGTGCCACAGAAATGTTGACCTACACCTAAAGCCGATGATTATTTGTATGATAAGACATAGTGATTACCAGGTGAAATCACATGCTTAACATGAAACTGGGGAATAGAATAGAATAGAATTGTTTTTAATGTTGTACAAAAAAAAATAAAACAATATTAAGAAATTAAAAACAATAATAAAACATCTGCTTTGATGGTCTTATCCTACCTTAAGGAAACCTTATCCCTGACTCTTCCTCATTACTAATATGTGACTGGGGGCCAGTAGCTACTGAAAAAGGCCCTCACTGGAAGACTGCATGATAGCATCCTTACCCCCTCTTCATTTTACGCCTCTCAGCTCTTACTGGCTTTTCCTCTAGGAGAGAGATAAGAGGCAGGCATATTTTTAATTTAAGCCCCTAGTCTCTGTCTCAGAGTAAAGAAGAAAAAGAGATACCGAGGAGTGGAGGAAAAACTTAAGGAGTCCATGCAAGCATCACGCAAAAGACACCACGACTCTCCAGTATGTCAATACGGGGTCCTCGACTTACGGCAGCTATGAAAAGTGGGAGTTGGCACTTTGCGTTCCACCTTATTCGATCGGGGCCTCTTTTAGGTCCTCTCAGTCGCAGCTGTCAGAGCCCATTTCTCTCAACTTCTTAATAAACTGCAATCTCGGCGCATTGCATGAAGCTAAAATTCCAGCAGGGAACCTCAAGACTGCTGTGCCAATTTGCAGGGGTCCCCGAGGCACAACCTCAAAAAGCATCCACTTTTCCGAAAAAAGGCAAAAGCAATAAAATGTCAAATTTAAAATACATTTAGCTTTCCGAAAATGTGGTTGCCTTTAATAAACTAAGAGAGGGCTTGGTGCTTTTGGCTTTCCGTGGTCTTAAATAAAAGTCACGCAGAGTGATTCACCGCCACTCAAGGCCATTCAAATCCTTCCAGGTGGTTTGAGATCACGAGCTGCGCCACCCCATTCCCAACCCGGCTCAATGACGTATTAAATTAAAAACACTTTCACACAACCCGACCAGGAAGTGGCCGGACACCCCAGCTGACCACAGGAACCCGGGTCGGATGGTGCCATGGGGATTTATCCCCAAGGATCCCTCAGAGTTTTCACAGGCCAGGGTGGCAGGATATAGCATGGACTTACCTCCCCCGTTCTCTCTTTTATTATGAAGAAAAATAATAGGCTTGGGTCCTTCTATTCATATTTGCAAAGAGGCGGTGCCGATTGAAAAGAAGCATGTCCATTTAGGATTTTATAAGCAGGTCTGGCCAAGCCTGCCTCTAGAGCCCCACAGATGTGGTTTTGAAAGAAATTTCATTGTGCAGAACTCAAGCTGGCTGAGGGCCTGCAGAAAATCCAGAGGAAAGAGGGAAAAGCTAGAGTTCAGAAAATAGCAAAATTTGGAGTTGGGAGACAAAATGGACACTGTTCAGTTCAACAACCTCTCCATGAAAGCACCGCTACTTCAACCAATCAGCACGGAACGCTGAAGACTAATGTCCAGCTGGTAACCCTTTTCTGAATTTTCCCAGAAAGAGTTTTACCATCCAGACATGACT